CTTNTGATGCGGAATATTCACCATTATGCTCACAACTTCTCAGTACCTTCCTGCAGTCCATTTTGCTTGAGCATTGACTCGATTCAATACCTACACATTCCACAAACAAGCTCCATGAAACCGTTTACAAAACGGTCAACCTCCCATCAAGGTAAGTAGGTTTGTATTTCTGCTTTTTTGCCTTATGCTCACCAATTGTTTAGTACCTTCCTGTGGTCCATTTCACATGGGCGTGGACTCAATTCAATACCTATGCACTCCACAAACATGCTCCACAAAGCCATTTACAAAATGGTTGAGTTCCCATCCAGGTAAGTAGGTTTGTATTTTCGCTTTTTTGCCTTATGCTCACCAACTGCTCAGTACATTCCTGTGGCCTGTTTCACCAGAGCATGGGCTCATTTGCACAAGTTGTCAGGACCTTAATTGTTGTACCTTCAATGTAAACAAGTTGAGTTGCATGAACATGAAAATAGAGGCAATGCATTCATTCATCAGAGTCTGGAAGCCAAATAGAGCAATATATTAGCCACAACCTACATCAACGACAACCTGGATAGGGCTAAAAGACAGTAATAATCAAGGAATGGTCAAGTAGACTAGGAAAGTCATGTAGGCGAACCAAGCAGATGATCATGGGAAGAAATCACTTTCGTGGGAGAAAGTCAAATTTCAGCGTTACCGCGCTGAAAAAAGTCCTGAGATCCTGGATAATAAACGAGTCTCTTCGTAAACTCAGAGGACTCGTAATGTGATAGATAACGGCAGCATTTTGATAGCCTGAGCAAGGCTGGAATGGCCAAGTTATCCAGAATAAGCTTCTGGATGTCTAGCGGTATATGCAGGAGAATGTTTGTTGGATACTCGAAGGTGGCATTCTGTGGAACTATGGTTGCTCAAAACGATAACAAATGAAGATGACAAAGTAGCGACATACTAGTTTTCAAATGATAAAGGTCTGCCAACTCACAGATGTGAGATTGGATCGTCTGGAACTGCTACCAGTTGCTCTGATGTCATTTGCCAGAGAAACGATGGTGGATTAGATAGAGTTGCTTGAGCTGAGGAAACCGACTCTCGGCCCTTTGCAACCGAATTGCTGAAAAATGTACGAAGAGCAGGTCCATCTACAAACAAGGGCATGGATGCTAATAACAAGAAATCAACATATGAAGGTCAACAACGAATTGGAGATAAACACACATAATTCAGTTGGCGAGCCAGGATCTGACATAGAAGGTGAGGAAATTGTTGGAGAGGATGACCGTGATTCAATTTCTGGGAAAAGAATCATAGGTGAGTCCACTACTTGATATGAGGAATGAATGTCCAACTAATACCTGTAAATGAAGGTCGATGCAAAGGAAAGGCTGGCTGTCTGGATTGTGTGTACAGGCCTAAGTTCATTATATCAGGAACATGGCGGAAAGACTGAATAAAAAGCAGAACACAAACCTGAGTGATGATAATGAAAGTTCATGGCGATACCAACAAAGCAGAAAGTGAAGTTGATGGTTGAGATGAACGATGGGGAAAAAAACGCTAAGTCCTACGCCAGACAAATTCACTCATTCACTATTTTCTATTATTTGGAGCAAAAGCAATTTATCAAGGGACACTTGTTCAATACAGCTGCAGCTATGACGTTCGATGGAATACCAAACATCCACC